TCCTCTCTTGCAGAGGAACCATGGACGTCTCAGTTTCTGCAGCTCGTAATGCCAATTCAGCAAGCCTCTCATCATCTTCCTTTGTCTGCCAATACTTCGAAATGACAAACACGAGAAATCTCTTGAACTTTGTACAACGAAATGACAAATTCGAGCCATCGAGTTTTATATCTTGGGGTGTTAAGGATTTTAAAGGGTTTAATCCTATGTAATTCGTACTGTTTTACTTTAGAAATAAAGCAGTCCTGCAGGTATCTGCAGAAACATGTTTCTGCCATAACTTGGGGTGTCTGTGAAATTTATACAGCCAAAAGATTTTATGCTCATGTAGGAGCATGCCCTCCCTCGAGTAAAATCCATTCTAGGAATATTTTTAAGACCTCAAATTTTGGGGATATAACATTTTTAACCTTAGACTAACCTAAATATATATATATATATATATATAAAAGATACTACAAAACGCTTATAGACAAAAATGAACAGTGATTTCGCCTACCCTCATCACCATCCAAAGTTCATCGCACGGTCACGATTGTCTTGTAGTGTTTCATTTTTCAATTTGTTTTTCTACATATTTGAATAATTTGAAATTTGGAGCGTGTGTTCATAAAAAATAGACGAATCTACAAAAAATATCAAAAAAACATTTACATGAAATAAATTGATCAAAATACCCTTGAAATATTTTAGGGGTATTTTGGTCAAATTGTTTTTGATTATTTTTTTTATATTTTTATTAGGTGCGCCTCACTAAGATGTACACACGTTCCAAATTTTAGATCATTCTGATTTGTAGAAAAAAAATGAAACACCACCGGACAATCGTGACCATGCAATGAACTTTAAACGGTGATGATGTTAGGCGAAATCATTGTCCATTTTCACCTATAGGTGTTGGGAATGATTTTATGCAACAGTTGTATAGTAGTATAATGCAACCATCCTCAAAAACCATGTTAAAGACATTTGTTTGATACAAATTTTTAAATGTATTCTCTTTTCATTCTGAAGATCAATCACAAAAGTTTTTTTTAAAAAAAAAAATGCTCTAGAAAGTTTTTATTCTAGCCCAATTAATGTAACCCGTCTATTTTATTGAGATGGTTAGATATAGGCCTCAAAGGGATTTTTTTATTCCCAAAATTTCTATATAGTGTTATCATCATTAGATTAATAATACTAAATAAGAAAAAATGATTTTGAATTTTTTTAGGCCTAGATCTTGAAATTCACCAAATGGATGGTTGAGATTCATTATTGGATGGGTACTAATTTTAACATATCTAGGGTGCAAATTGAATTTTTTTTTTCTTCGTAGGATTGATTATAAGGATGAAGAGAATGTGTGCCCAAAATTTGGCATCATACATGCAAAAACAGGGTTTTTTAGAAGTGTAGTTGTATTATACTATTATACAACTGTGGCATTAGAT